TTAATTTGTGGTTTAAGTTTATTTTTGTTTGTTACTGTTGTAATTGTGATCGGACAATTTCAATTATTATTAATATTTTATATTTTCTGTTATTATTACATGATTATAATCATTATGATTGTGATTAACCGAGCACACTAACAATTAGATTATGTTAACAATTTAAAGGTGACCATATATTGATAGGTAACAATTTAAGGTGAAACTTTTGAACGATCATAACAATTTATGGTTAGTAATCGAGTATTTTTCTCAATTTCAAGATTGAATTGTTAACATATTAATACACACAATTTTCCAGGGTTAATTAATATCGTAAAGAGATTAATTAATTGAATACCCTCGAGGGACCAATCTTAATTGTCTATTATAATAAGAGATGAGGTAAAGTGTGAGGGATGGAGGCGGTCAAGAGGAGGGTGAAAGTTACACCGAGTAGAATCAAAGATAAATTCTCACCCTGAAGATTAATTGATGATTAGTTAATCAACTCAAGAAAAAAACAACAAAATTTGTTAATTGTTAATCAAATCATCTCGATTATAACTAATTACCATTGTTAATATTAAATCGATTGATTAACTCATTCATAAGCAAAATAAATAATTAGTACAATCTATTGATCTGTTTACTTGTAACAATTAGGATATTCATGATAATGATTTAAATTGTTTGTTTGAATTGTACATTGATTGTTTACTATTTGATTAATATTTTGATAATCAAAAACATATAATCATCATGATAATTGGCCAATAATCAACGAACTGACCATTGATTGTAAATGATATCTTCATCTTAAAGGTAATGGTCAATCGGTTAAACTAAAAAAGGTAAACAAAGATTCTGAAAGTAATAAAACAAACAAAAAATTAATAATCAACAATTATGATTAGTGTCGGAAAGGTAAAGGTAAATTCCGAATAGCTTTATGATTACCTGGTGACCAGTCGATGACCATTGGTTGGCCTTTGTTAACATTAAACTGGACACGCGAAAGTTTTTGTTGTTTAAATGTTTGTTTGTTTTTTTTCCTTTTGTTTGAACTGACCTTTTGTTATCCTCATTCATTAACATCGGATTGTTAATGAAAAATACATATTTTTAAACATGAAAACAAACAAAAACCACTCTCAATGAAGTTGTAAAACTAATTGTCCACTCTGATACCTTGACCACACAAGGACAACAAAAGAAAACGACAAATGACCACAAGGTTTTACAGTTTAAAGTCAAGTCGAAGAAAAAAGTTTTTCGTTTTTTTAACTAATTAACTGTAACTAATTATTGTTGACTTTCTTAACGAACTAGATAATTTTTTAGCCATCCACAACTGACCTCTGGTCAAAAAGTAAAGAGTGAAAACTTTCACTATGCTAATATGATGGTTCGTGTCCAGAATAAAGGTAATAAAAGGGTAATAACTGTTCAGGTCAATTCTGGACAAGACGATTTTTTTTTTCTATTTTCTTTTTGTCTTTTTTACTATTTCCAAGTATTAATAATAATTAATACGCTCCAGGGTAAATTATATATGCATTCATTTTTATATTGACCAATTAACCTTGTCCATGTTGACCATTTCTCAATTTACTCATGATAATTAAGAGAAACAAAGTTACATATGATTAGACAGGGAAAGTTAATTATTCACCAGAATCTGAGAGTTTAAAAGAGGCACTGACCATGAGGCTAATCAATTGACCATCGCCTCCAATCAACAAATGATTTAACTGAATAACCCTTTCCAAGGTTAAGGTTAATTGACCCACTGAGATCTTAATTAATCAGATTGTTATATATACTTTATCCTGTCAGTTAATTGTAAACCATTTGATTAATTGGTTAATTATCTCACTAACTCTCTCTGTGAGTCAATCATTTGTAATCAATATCAATACAATCATTGAGGAAACAACAATTATAAAGGTAACTTTTTTTACGATTTTGTAATTTCTTTGATTTTTTTTCTCTTCTCCGGTTGCTTAGTTTTGGAAGAATTAATTTACAATCAATTGCGATTGGAAATTGATTTTCAATCATGATAATTGTCTAGAGATTGACCATTGGAATGTTGTAAATCACAGAGAGAAAGGTCAGTTGATTAAGATGGAAAATTACAGAGAGAGAGAGAGACAAGAAAATAATGATGAAGATGAAACAATTATCGTTGTTACCTTTTCTTTTTACTGTGTAACTTGTGAGTAAAGAGTAAGTGAGAAAAAAATATATTCGGACAATGGTCAATGATAATACGATGACCACCAGTGTTGTTGCTTCTGATATTTAATGTTAATGAAGATGATGATGATATTTATCGCTTAAGGGGTTGATTATTTTTCTTCTCTTCCTCTTCTTATTGTTTAACCTCTTTCGTTTTTTAGTTGTTGACTCTATTGTTACCTGGATTTTGTTACCTGTGTCCAGTGGCAAAGGTCAATCAATTGAAGAAATAATAATGTTACTGGCGAAGAAAAAAATTACGATCGATTTTTTTTCCTTTTCTTTTTCTCTGCAATTATTACTCTTTTTGTGCCACGAGAAAAAAAGTCACAATTAACTTGTCAGGTCAATTGTTAGGTCAGTTTTTTACCAGCGATGGACAGTAGAGTTAAGGGTAAAAATGAAATTGGAAAACAATTGGGAGGAAATTAAAGTTATTGTCCAGCATAATACTGGACATTTGACTTTCTATATTGAAGGTAGTGGTGATTCTCTATCTTTATGAAAGTTTCAATTGACCAATCGATAAGATTGGGAATTGAAACATCAGAAAATGATGATAATCTTGACCATCACATTATCTTAAGGATGATGATAGTTAATGCTTTTGGTGTTGATAAAAACACTTATTCATCTCTCTCTCTCTCTCTCTCTCTCTCTCTCTCTCTCTCTCTCTTCCAAGTAGTGGTCATTACGAACTCGATGGCTACTACTTTTTATCCATCACACTATTCATAATAATCTTATATCGATACTTAGTCTCCAATCTCACACTGGTCACTTTTACTTGTCTTTGGCTCTCATCTAAATGAAAGAAAAATTACTTTTTTATGTCAAGGTAAAAGTGAAAACCTTTGACCTCTAATCTTCCAATCGATGTAAGATATTTATTAGTATTATGGTTTACCAACTTATCGAGTATAAAAAAGTCACGTAAGTGATTCCAAGGAGAAAGTAATATCTGAGCCAAAGTATTCATTTTATTATGACCGAATTGACCAATGGTCAATTTGGTTGTTGTGTCCACTTACTTTTCAATATTTATTTAGTTTTGTGTCTTTATTTTGTTATTTAATTTGTGGTTTAAGTTTATTTTTGTTTGTTACTGTTGTAATTGTGATCGGACAATTTCAATTATTATTAATATTTTATATTTTCTGTTATTATTACATGATTATAATCATTATGATTGTGATTAACCGAGCACACTAACAATTAGATTATGTTAACAATTTAAAGGTGACCATATATTGATAGGTAACAATTTAAGGTGAAACTTTTGAACGATCATAACAATTTATGGTTAGTAATCGAGTATTTTTCTCAATTTCAAGATTGAATTGATAGCGCTTCACAATAGTTGATATAATTGATAATTAACCGACTGAATAGCCTTGAGAGGTCATTACTGGTGTAATGATAAACTCAATTGCATGGAAATTAATTGCTCTGGAAGAAATTTGTGCTCAACATTTGTCTTTAATTGATCAAATTCAAAAAATCAGTTAATAGAAAAGTAACAATTACTAAATTGTAACAGTTTAACTATGACCAAATATGGAATGATAACAATTTAAATATAGATTTGTCATTAATAGATTTAACAATTGAAGATTTTGTTTACAATTGGAACAACAACTCCAACGATGATATTCATGACAACGTGGTTTAATAAAGCATTTTGTTCCCATGCTTCTTCCATCTTAGGCTTGAATCCTAAAAAAGAAATGAATCAATTAGATTTTGTGTATGAGAGTTAGAGGATGGACTCCAAAGATCACAAATCAATGGATACCGAAGGCCAATCAAGGTTAATCTACCATCATTTAACATTCGCGACAAACTATGAGAGAGTCTGATGCGCCAAGAATGTGAAATTAACGTGGTGAAAGAGAATATAATTAATGATAACGTATTTACCTTAGAATCAGGTCAGAATCAATAAAGGTTGAGTCAAATGAATTTTCTTCAAGCTGAAATCATAGCCGATCAGTTTCTTCCATAACAGCCCATTCTAAACAGCATGTTTCATCGACGACAGTTGACACCTTGAGAACAGATCAAATACCACGGGGTTGACACCGCCACCAGTATAACAGCCCATGGAGCATCCAAAAGAACCAAGATCTTAGAACTCTCAGTCGACATCAGTTTCCTGATATTAAACCAATTCAATCGTTCGATCCAAACTGTTACCAAGTTCAGCCAAAACGTGGTTATAACCATAAGCCCATCTATACCAAAATTTCAACCGAATCATCACCAAGTTTAGACCATAAGAGCCACGTTGGATGACTTGAATTTCCTCTGTAACTGGTAATTAACTGCCGAGCAATTGGTTGACATGTTAAGGTTACATTTAACACTAAATCAAAACAGTTTCAGAAGCACCCAAAGGTGATTTATATAACTTGAATCACATACTTATGAATAGAATAAGAAAAGGTTCAACGAAAATTGAACATGACACCAATCAGACAATTAAAAAATTAACTATAAACACATTGAGTAAAAGACTAGCCTTTAAATACAAAAGAAACGGAAACGAAACAACAAAACGGAAACACAACAAAAAATAGAATCGAAAACAAATTAATCGTCTTTTATTTCGATTAATCGGTTCAACTTCGATGAAAATATGAGCAAATAATCGATCTGAATGGATCGATTTTCTCTACAAATCGAACTATTACTTAATCGATATTTAGTTGAATCTTAAATACATAAGTAGTGACGACATTGTCGTTATCAATAAATAAATGAAAAAAATGGAAAAGTAAAATTTTAATATTGTTTTTTTTAATCTTCAAGAATTGACTGAGGAGCAACAGGGACTCACAGGATCAGATTAAAGATCAATTAGTTGATGGTCAATTTTGATCTTTTCATTAATAACCTTCTATCTTCTTAATCATAGTTATATTATATTTTACAAATTAAAACGCGAGAAAAATTGGCATTTTGATGTTGATTCAGTTTAGATTATTATTCAATCTTGGATAAAGATCCTTATTTAGATGAAATTTGCTCTTTTAACTGATAAATTTTTCAAATCAACAACACATTGATCAAGGTAAGATTTCTCTCTATCTGGGGTGATACTTTTGTTGACATTATCAAGAATCCAAGTTACCATGTTTCGTCTAGCAAATGATCGTTTACCCTCATCCAAGGCCGATTGTAGGTCCAATTTTCGTTTAGCTTCCTTGTAAAGTAACATGGCTCGTTTTCGGTATTCGGCTTCCCGTTGAAGATGAGCGTTCTCCCGGTAAACGTTGAATAAAACGCTTGGATCTTTGCTTGCTTGGATTTCATTGTTGTTAAATTCAATAACATTGTTGAGGAATTTGATTGATCCATGTTGCCAATCTCTCCAGCCCATAATGTTTTTCTGAAATCATAATAATAATAATGTTATTAGAAAAAGGTCAATTTTTAGAGAAGGATAAAAATTGAGAGACAAATAATTACCACGGCAGCGCCTTGAATTTGATCTTTAAGAGATGGGCCAAACTTTTGCAATCCTTGGAAGAGAAGAATCCAGAAAATGATACCCGAAGGTACTGAGTGGTCCATAACAAGCCATTCCTTTGATAGAGATGCTAACATGATACCAGTAACGGCGAAATAGGGACCAGTGACACCGGTTTTATTGTAAAAGGGTTCAAACCACCATTCGGGTATGAAAAACATTCGGTATTTAGGAGCCTCAATTTGTATGACCTTATGAGCTGATGGAAAATTTTTCAAGTCTCTCTGAGGATTATTGTCATCATCAATAGTTGGCATATTCTCAGCAAAATTCACGTTCAAAATTTCAGCCATACTAACACCTCTTGGAATCTCTTTAACATTTTCACCAACCTTTGCATTGGGTGCAACAAGATTGGGAATGAGAGGATAAGGTGGTTCACAGTCATTACGGTCTACTCTGATCTCTTTACCATCAATTATAACAGGTATGTCTGCATAAGCATCATTAACAGTTGGGTAAATTTTCTCCTGAGTACTTGGTGTTAGATGAGATTTAACTGGTCTAATCTCAGTTTCGATTTCAACCTCTTTCAATTCATTACCAACAAGAGCCAAGGTTTTGGTAGTTAATTGACGTGAATTGCAGCATAATTGTTGTTGACTTAATCCGGACTTGGCAATCTTAGCCAAAGCTGAGCCTGAATGTAGAAAAGATCAAAACAAAACAAAAAAGGTCAAAAATTAATCAATTAAATAAAATGAAAACCAAATCAAAACATAGAAGGAAAAAAATTCTCAAGATATAGACAAACAAGTTCACCCATTAACTACCAAATTCACCCAATTTAAAGAGCAAGACTTGGTCATCTACTTACCAGAGGTGAAGGCCAATCGATGGAACATTTTGACGCAATTTAATTAACCAAAACAATCAGTTAATTACACAATTAAACCAATTAATTACAAGCAAAGGTAAATCAAAGAGTCACCTCTAAGTTTGATGACATCAGACAACAGGTGGCAGCACGAATACAAAACTACTTCCATCTGGTGTTGACCTGGAAAAGATCAAAATTTTCGCGGTAAAGTTGAAAAAGAAAATTAAACAAACTGAATTTAATTAAATTATGATTAACCGGATCATAGTGATAATTACATTATTAAATTGCGATAATTTAACTTTCAATTAGTCAAAGTTAATTAGTTTTCTTCTCAAGAATCTTAATCCTATTATAAGCGCCATTTTTTGTCAAATGAATGAAAAAAAAAGTTGTAACAATTAGTTGATTAATTTAAAGCACTTGTTTTTATTTGTATTTTTAATTTAGTTACAGTAAATAAGGTGCTTACAATAAACATTGATTTAATCAGTTTAATTAGTGCATAAGGTGATTTAAGTTTAAGATTTAATTTGGACCACTCATTGTTAATTTAATTACAATCAAGATCAATGATAAACTTTAAGTCAATTTGATTGTTTTGATTTTTTTTTTGTTTTTTACTCTTTTGGTCTTGATTGTTATATCAAATGTATCAATTGTAATTTTAATTGATTTTTAATTGCATTAATATTTGACAAACAATCAAATTAATATTTGGAAAGCTTTACCTTACAATCAAGTAACAATTAACAGTTGAACAGCAACAATTAAAATTAGGAGAGGAAACGATGAAATTAATTTGATTTCTGTGGGAAAAAAACAAAAAGTTCAATGATTGAGTTAATTGTCGAAATGAATTCAACAATTAAGCCTCACAATTAGGGTTTACATTAAGATTCTGAGAGGAAGGCACAAGGTTACCATTAATTACAATCAATTAATTAGATCAAAAATTAATAGTTGCTGGTAGAAATGAACAATTTAAGGTTAATCAGGATTAACGATATTCACAATTAGCCGGTTGTATAAATATAACAATGCATATGTAATAGTTAATTAGAGTATATAATAAATTGTTAAGGCTGATTAGATTAAAGTTAATTAGGTAAAAATTGCTGTTCAACTAATTAGTTAATTGTTATCCAATGAAAGTTAAAGTTTAACCCAAATTATAATTGTTGATCACATTGAATACACAAAACAATCAAATTGATAAAGTTAATTGATTATGAGTTGATCAATTTGCAGTTTAACAATTTAACAATCAAAGGAATGTTAAAGTTTTCATATTGATTTAGTTTACTATTAGTTAATTGTTTCCATTGATTAATGATTAATTATGAAGTTTTTTTTTTCCTTCTCCATAGTGATTAAGGTTTAATCCATTGCTTAAGGTCATTTGTTAATTGTATTAATAATTAATGTTGTCAGTGAATATTAATTGTATAATAAGAACAGTAATAATTATAACTATGTTAATTGTGATTAAATTGCTGATGAGATGTGATTTGTGTCCATTGATGAACGTTAATTAGTTAAATTAATTACAATCGTTTCAATGAAACTACCAAAATTAACGAGTACAAAAAACGTACTCGATAACTGGATTAATATAATTGGATTAATTTGAAGTTTCCATTTGTTAATTGTGACAATCAATTCAGTTTCCTCCTTCGTTAATCCAATGGCTTGATACCAGCCAATATATTATAATTAATGGTGATGATGATTAATAAATTGCATTGGTAAATATAATTAGATATCAATTATTGATGATTTAAAAAGATTCCAGATCTATTGATTACAATTGCGAGGTAAATTGTTACAATTAGAGAGAGAGAGCTGATTAGTTGAGAGAGTGATTAAAAAAAGTGATTAAGTTTAAATTGTTGATTTTTAGGCGGACTTTTGATTTGATTTGGTTTTCTCATATAAATAATCACAATGTTGATTAACAATTAAAAGTTTGCAGTTTATGTTTAGGTTAACAGTAGATTCTGATTATTGTTCAAGTTGATTGGCAATTAAATCAACTCAAACTTGCATCCAGTTTTTAGTAAATTAGAGTAACAATTAAATAAATTATCGATTTCCTTGTGGTTGTTGTTTTCTTGTCATTGGAAAATTAGTAAATTGTTGTTTACTTAATTGTTGTTACTTTCCAATTAGTAATTAACTTTTAGTTGTGGAAATAGATTTACATACAATTAAGTACAATATTGTTTGATTGTTTTAAGCTGAACAAATTTGCATGTTGATTTACAATTTAGAGATGATTAAGGACAATTTGGTAAATTGCAATTTGGTGAAGAGAAACAATTAAGCAAACAGATTACCTCTCCAATAGTAATTAAGTGTATTAACAAATTGTAATTAGAAAAGAAAAGCTCGAGTGTGATTAAGATTCAGGTGATTAATTATTAATTTCAATTGATAATCCAAATTGTGATGATGATTAAATTAATATATAAACATAATCGTAAATGTTTATCATGAATAAATTAATAATTGATAATCATCAAGAACCAATCAATTGATTAATGTAAACAGTAGTGAAACAATTAAGTGAAACAAAAAAAATGGATTCAAATGATGATTGAATTGATTGGATTGTGATTATTAAAATAACATTGTCAAGTCCATAGTACTGGTCAGTTAAGTGGTCACTACCATTGAGATTATATTAATATCACCTTGGTTCCTTTGAGTGTTCATCCAGAATTGACTTTCATTTGTTCAATTAAGATGATTGGCTGATTAAGATGAAGATAATCATCAAAAAAAGGTAAACAAATGAGGAGATGATGGATGATGATGATGATAATGATTCATCTTCATGATGATAGCTCAGGTAAATATTAGTGACCAGTTGATTATCAGGATTATTTGGTCATCATAATAATTGCTAACTGACCAAAGTTGAAAGATGCTGACCAATGACAATAGACAAAACTGATGACCATGAAAATGACCATTGATCAAATTAATTTCCATGTGATTTGTATCATCATTTATTTGATTTGATTGTAATTGTTACACCAATTTCCTTGTAATTGATTTTCCTCCTTCTTTGAATATAAAAAAATTCACCAATAAATGTTAATCATCTTGATTATTATCATCGTTGATTGTGATCAGATTTTCATGATTATCACAACTTGAGAATCCACAATCATCTTGATGATCCTTGATGGTGGTCATCCAATTGGTCAGTTGATATATTTTCCATCTTAATTGTGAAAAGTTTTCCACACTTTGATTATACATTAATCAATCTGATTGATTGTGAATTCTAAATGATTACAATTAGATTAAAACTAACAACTTAAATGTGATAATTACAATAGAAACAAATTTACAATCAATTGACAAAAGTGTTGAAACAATTAGAAGATGATGATTAATGATTGATTGATACAATTAGACAATCAACGATCAAATTGTTCACAATCTAATAATCAATTGATGATGATGCAAGTGATTAGTTAATTGTAAACTTTGCCACCAATGAAAAGATATACAGTACATGATAATCATAATGAGACCAAATAATTGCGACATTAAACTGGTGATGGCAAATTATTGTAAGAATTAACATATTAAATTGCTGATTAATTAATCAATTAACCATCCTAATTGTTTGGAATGTAAATTAACAAATGAATTTTAAAATAAGGTTGAGGCGGGAAAACAAAGAGGCACACAAATGATAACAATTAACAATAATTTTCCTGTTGTGATGATGATTAGTAAAAATGATCAACAAAACAATTAACAATTAACAGGGTTTGTTGAAATTTATAACAATTAACAATTGTATTGATAGTTAAATATATATAAATATTTATATTATTTATAATTAATTAGAGTGATTTAATAATAATCAATAATAATTATAATGTGTAGATGGATTTAAATTTGCATTGATTTAGTTTCTGGCTTTTTCCAATCAACAACAATTAACAGTTAATCGTGTCTCTCAAATTGAATTAACTAATTAACTGACTAATTGAATGATGACCAAGTTGATGAGATACATATTGATGATGTTGATTAATTAATTAAATCATTTTCTCTTTTCGTTAAACTGTCGTTTCCCGTTCATTGAAAGTGGCCTGGTAACATGCGAACTCTGTGAAAATAAGTTAATCAGATTGTAAAAATTAAGTATAATTAACAAAATTGTACGAAAATCAAAACACTATTAACAACTAAATTAAATTAAATTGTGCAATTAGCAGGGAGATGGGAAAATATCTCGTTAATTAGATTGCTAATCAACAAGAAATTGATAATAATAACAATACGGAAAAGGAAATGTAACAAATGATAATTGGAAAACTTTTGCAAAGAAATAAAAAAGTTTTTGTTGTTTAAATGATCAGATGAATAGAATTAAAAACAAAAAGGACAATTAGTTAATTAGTTCAGTCCAAGTCAACCGGGGAAACCTTTAACCTGTCAAATGCCAGAATTGAATCAATACAATTAGTTGATTAACAATTAAAAAGTTATTAACAGAATCCGGAAAAGGAAATGATTCTTAATGGAAAACAGTTACAAGTTGTTTTCGTTTGAGTTTTGTTTTTGTTTTCAACTGTTAAATCGGATACAAAGCATTTCCTTTGTAAATTGCTAATCAATAATCAATAATGATTAACAGTTAATCAATCTAATTTACTGTCATCAAACCATTGACGTTAGTTAATTGTGACAATTGTGAATAAATATAAAATTAGTACATTTATATTATAATAATAACGATAATAGTGAATATGATCAATTGATTGAATTGAGAAAATTGTTTGTGACGTTAATTCAGTTTATAAACGTTGATTATCAGGATATGTGGAAATTTAATTTCTCTCTGTGATTAAACACCAAATAGTTAAATTGTTTCAATCAGTTGATTAAAACCATCGTCTTAATCCTCTTCTTATGAGTTTGTTAAAATTTTCATGCAAAGCTATGGGGTAAAAAAAAGAAATAGCAAATTAAAGCAAAAAGAGTGTCAAAATTAAGCTCATTAATTGTAACAATTAACAGTTAACAATACCATCAATTCAATTAATGTAAAGCTAATTGTTAATCTGAGGAAAGATAATCGATAAATTTGAATAGATTGACTAAATTATCACCAATCAATCAAATGAAACTCTGACAGCCAACAGAAAGTAAATCAATTTAAATGTTGGAGTTTTAGAAAACAAGATTTGATTGTAATGAAAATTAATCAGCTAATCAATTTATTGATTATCTTTTTCAGATTTTTGCTTCGAAAACAATTACAATAATTGATACTTACGATCTAAATAAGTAGCAAGATCTTGATCACCTCGAAGTAGAGCCAAATCTTTGGCATTATGGCCGTTACCATCTAGTTCCGTTACCGATGAGCCCGCAGCGGCTAAAATACAAACAGCGGTCTGTTGATTAAAACGAACCGCTATTTGTAACGGAGTTTGACCTTCACCCACTGTCCTAGAATCCATGAGATTGGGTTCAGATGAGACAAGATAATGAATAATATCCTGATGTCCAAACATGGCTGCATAATGTAAAGCGGTACAACCCTTGGTATCAACGGCCCATAAACTGTAGCCCCGTTCATGTAAACCTTTAATTGATGAAAGGTCACCTCGTTTAGATGCGTCCAAAATTTTACCCGAATTAAAATCAATTGATATACTATCAGGACGAGTAGCACCACAATTACCAGGCGATCCTCGGATACCAATATCACCTCCTTGTGCCCCTTCACCTTCACTTATGCCCAATCGATTGTCACTATTATCATTATCTTTAATTACCTTACAACTAATTTCATTAGTTCTACTATTTCTAGGATTAAACTTAGGATTAAGATTAAGATTAACATTTCTAGGGTTATAAACAGTATTTACTTTTGTATTGTTATTATTATCACTGGTAGTGGAAGCGTTTATATTACATTGATTTATATTTTTACCTTTATCACTCATAATTGATTCATTTTTAAGAGCACTGGTGGTTGTTGTTGTTGTTGTTGTTGTTGTGGTTGTGGTTGTTGATGGTGGTTGTGGTTGTGTTGATGATGATGTTGGTGACGACGAGGATTGTGAAGGTGACAGTGTTGATTGAATTGTATCTGATGGTGTATTTAGATCACCCGTTTCTTTACCTGCGTTTGGCGGTTTGAAAAGTACAATTGTATTATTGTTATCACCCAATTGGCTTTGATCTATTGGTAAGGGTGTCTCATCACCTCCCTCGCTAATACCGCTCGCTGGACTATTGGTGCCCACGTAGGTTGGTACACTTGGTGTACTTGTATCATCACGATAATTGTCATCAGCGGGATCAAGAATGAAAAGATCGTCATTACAAATATCTACCACATAATGTAAATGCTCTTGGGCTCGATCGATGCGAAAAAATCGTTCAGCAGTACAAGCTAAAAGTTGGAGAGACAATTTTGTTTTCGATAAAATTTAAATTAGGAAAACTTGATTATTGATTTCGATGATTAATTTTGATGGACTTACAATCAACGAAACACCAATCAGTTGACAGTTCAAAGGCTCTTTCCATTCGGTATCTTTTCACTTCTGAATCTGGTGTTTCATTCATCTTTTGACTGGCCGTTGATCCTTTTCGTTGAGCTTGGACCATTTGAATGATTAAAACACGAACATGATTCAATTCGAGATCGGGATTAATATTAAGTTTACCAAGAGGTATTGCTAAAGTTAGAATAAAGTTTTCCAAGAAAAGTTAATTCATCGAACTGGAAAAGTCTCTAATTGTTCAAAAATCAATACAATACTTACATGCATCTCGAAGTCTGTCTTTATCATAATGGAAAGTTTCATAATCGGTTAAATTTAACTTTCTTACATCAACGATTATCTCTCGATCCAAAGTTGGCCTGAAAAGTTGATATCGAAAAAGCAAAAGAGTCAATACAACATTGTCGATATGTAAAGAAGGGAAAAAAACTCGATCGAAAATGATTCTCACATTGAAATGATCTGCGAATGAGATTTAGATTTGGCAATCATATTTGCTTGATTTTTGACCTTAATCCTAATGACGGAAGGTAATAATCGACAGGGTTCACCATCTACTTGCATAGGAATCGTTCGCCGTGTAACTATTTTGGCCTCTTTACATTGAGCTACACACGACCCATGGCCACCGGCTTGAAGAAGAGGCTACAAAGTGGGTGAAAGAAAAAGTTATCATCAAGATTGAGGTTTATTTATTTTTGTCGGTCGATTCTCACCAGTTGATAGGTTGTAAGGCCAATTACTTCAATCAGTCCATCATCGGTTCTTGGTAGTTCAAAGGAGGGCGATGCACTGCCCCAAGGTCGAGTACCACCTCCGTAACAGGGGATATTGAGAAGTAAAAGTGAATGGACTTTCAGGTCTCTTAATCGTTGCGTATGGTCAACACCATCACATTCAACGGTAATATAAGTGGCCAGATCTTTCCATTTACGTTGAAGTAAATCTTTACCACCCGCTTGACCGTAAAACATTTTATTCCGAAGGCGAGAATTGAAACGCTCTGGATGAGCTTCACGAGCTTCATGAAATTCAAGGGCAATATGAGCATCAACACCAATGGAAAAATAATTATTAATCACATTAAGAGGTAACGATTCTTTACCACCCTCAGGCGTATCTGAAGCTTGTTCAATTAGGTTTAATTCAGTGTTACGAGTAACCTTAACATCCCAACGGTCAAGTTGCACAACTTCACCATCTTTAATGTTAAGTAATATCTTGGAAACTGGTTCATCGGTATAACCTCCACCCCAACCAAGTGCTCGAGCAAGATCATTACCAGTTCCAAGGAAGTACAGCAATCGGAGGTGAAGGTTTAAATCCAATATCATCAAGAACCGAGAGTATCCAACCAGCGGTTCCATCACCTCCACAGGCCAATATCCTAAGGTTTGGCACTTTACGATATAATTCAAGACCTGGACGTGGTCCACCTTGTGTAAGGTCAAAAACTTGTCGTGGATTAAGTAACCATTGAAATTTTTGCATCAATTTGGACCCTTGGTTACCACCACTTTTTGGATTAATAAAAACCAGTAAAGGCTTTGAATCGGGTGATGGAATTGGTTTAATGGCAAATGACCGATGTTGACCTGGAGCACAAAGGGAAGGTCTTGGTTCAGCTGAAACTACACCAGGAGTAGATGAAGGTGGTGGTGATGGTGTTGCTCCACAAGGCAGTGGACCTGTTCCCAGGATGTGGTCACCCGTTGTCGATGAAATTAGTTGAGATTGAGTGACCAGTCCAGGATTGGTTGTTATGGAAGAGGAAGATGAAGATGACCCTTGATTGGACGATGAGGTTAAAGACGGTTGAATTAATTGGTGAGATGAAGAGGATAAAGTTGTTGATGATGAAGATGCAGTTGCAATACCAGAAGAACATGAAATTGAACCTGATGGAGGTGGAGGAGGTGATGAGGATAACGAATGAACCGGAAGATGATGACTAAGCTCACTTGAAGTAACGGTAACCAAAGACGAAGCATCTTCTTTCTTGGCTCGACGTTTAGATGAAGATCGTTTATTTTTTGGAGATCGACGAATAGACGATTTGAATGAACCCTAATTGCGAACGAGAAAAAAAAGTTCCAACAATAAGTATTAACAATCAAGAAGAAGCGAGAAAAAAAATCCCAATCAACTCAATTAGAGAAAAAGCAAAAAAAAACAATCAATTAATCATCGATATCTTGATATGAAAGAAAAACTATTAACCTTACTCGTGGATTAATTGCTGCTGAGCCCTTACTAATTACTCTAAATATTGATAGTTAATTAATAGAAAACAATTCCATTGATACTAATTGTCTTCCGCATCCATGAATTAGGAAAATTTGTCTTGTGTTTACCCATATGAAAATCAATTGATCAACAATCAACAAAGTTACATTAAAATTTGCGGTGAAAATGGAAAGATGATTAATTGATTGTTAAGATGGAATTGGATTAATTAAAAGACTTGATTACCTTTCGTGGTAATTTAACAATCCATGAATGGGGTATAATTAAATCTCGATGAATTCCTAAATTACATGTTTCTGTGATTCTTTCCATGGTGAAACAGTTTTCCTTATTGTGATAGGCAGTTTTACACCAAGAACAACTGATTGCGACAATTTCCTAATTGTTAACAATTAAAAAGGTCAATCAATTAGAAACAGAGAAAAACTGACAAAGGTAAACAATTAATAGTAAATTCATTTGAACGTTTCTCTTTTTATATGAATGAATTTCGATTTTGTTTTGGTTTTTTTTTTGGAAACAGGAAGAGAAAAGTAATTAATTGTAATGATTGTGTAAATATTGATCACAATTAAGTAGGTTAATCAATAGCTTACCTTATTACCGAAAGACAATTTAGATTGAAATGATTTACCACATTGACGACATCGACCCTTTTGATGCCTCCTATGGACCCAATGGTGATGGATCATCGTTTGCTGGAACAATTAACAATTGATTGACAATTAATTATGGAAAACAAAGTTAATCAAATTGTTGTTGGTAAAAAAAAAACTTAATTAACTTGTGACAGTTAACAATTGGATTGTTGTTTCCATTGATAATCAAATGATATTGAGTTAAATTGTCCTACAAAGGTCACGATTGATAATCAATTACTGACAATCAACATTGATTAAATTAGAAATGAGAATCACTTTATTATTAATCTACTTTTAATCACAATTACTCAATCTAAATTGATAAGTAAATTAAATCACAAGTCTATCAATTGCCTTTTAAAAGTGAGAGGGTAAAAAAAGTTGTTAAATTGCTACAAGTTAATTAATCAAATGGTGGACAGTAAAAGTAATTAATTAATCTGATAAAAGAAAAGTGAAAAAAAAATGTTAATTGTTTCCTTTTAATTGTGACACTAATTGTGAAAAGAAACAAATAGTTAATTGTTTCAACACTTAAACTATTAAAGTGACAAATTAATTAATTATCAAAGAGAGAAACTTAATTAATCTTAACCAATGAACTTTTTCTGATCCTTGCAACAACAATTTAGTTAATTGTTATACTAAAATTAGATAGACATTAACAAGTAAACTGACCATCAGATTGGTGCTGATTTTTTTGTTACTTTAAGGATTAAGTGTATTCAATGGTCATTTTTATGTTGACCATCATTATTATCATGTAACATCAATCTAATTGACTGATAGAAATCAAGAATTAATTGTGATTAATCCAGAAATTTGGAATCAATCAATTACTGGAATTGCTTGATGATCATGATGATAGAAAAGGGATCAGATTTAAAGGCTTAGACAAATGATTAGAATTGAACAAAAATCGTTGATGATTATGATGAGAGAGATGATTACGATTGATTCAGTTAATGATGATTCCAATCTGGAAGATTGAACATTTGATAAATCGTGAAAAAGATGGACAATGTCCACTACTAAGGTCTGTTATCTTTTATCACTGAAACTTTGCTTGGAAATGAAAAGTTGTTACATTGAAAACAAAACGAAATAAGAAAATAAAGAAAATGATTCTAAATAGAGAAAATAATAACCGATAGAATTTATATTAATCTTCAAATCTGTCAACTTCGAATCAAACTGTCCACTTACTTCACGATATTGTCGCACTCCTACATCTTTGAATGTTGGTTTGCAATGAAATTTAATTTTATCGATCAAGATCCCGATGCATCCGGTGTGAGCTGTAATCTTACAGGCTGGACAACAAAGTCTTGGACCTTGTTTCTAGAGAATTGGAAAATCATTGAGATTGATTAATCGATACTTGAAAAGTTATCAAAATGTTCAAAGAGTTTATTATACATAAACTTATCGATACTTACTGAGCATTCATTTTCACCGACATAACAGAGATCCCCAGAGGCACTCGTTGATACCCATAAATGGTCCCCGTTAATAGCAGTTTCCTGGAAGAGAAAATCGTTCAAGTTTCAATGAAAAAAAGTTCGAGTTCTAAATCGTACAAGTTATTCACAGAATTCAGAACTTACCCCCCAATCAGGAGCACTTCGAAGTGTTCGAGTTTCACCGTTTTCGGTTGAAATTTTGATTTCACCTTGTATTGCTTTCCTATTGGAGAGAAGATAATAACAAAAGAATTAATTTTTTTCAGTTAATCAAAAAGTTAGAAAACAATTAACGGTAAAAATCTTTAAGCAGACGAAACACAAAATTAACACATTGAATCTGAGAACCAAACGTAAGAAGCAAAAGTAGCCTGAGGTCACGAAAACTTAGAAAACAAAGGTAACGAATTAAGAAAGCGAACAAACAGAAAAATTCGAATATACACAAAGATAGAGAAAAAAAGAACGAACTGTTTGAACTTCGATTGATACATTTTTAGAAAATGATAAAAAACGCTAAAGAGATAGAGAGAAAGAACAAGAACTTTGGCGAAAAAGTAAAAAGTTCGAATCAAGACAATTTTCGATTTAGTCGATTGAGTGAAAAGCGAGTTGATGGTCACATTGTTTACATTGAATTTGCCTTGAAATGATCCAACAGTTTGAACGGATTAATGAGACAGAACTTGAGGAATCCCATTAGATAAAAACGTACGATAACTCAGACGAAAACGATAGTAATTAAATTCACCATATCGATAGAAACGATTATCACAATTTAGATAAACAAATGATTGAATAATCGAATGACAAGTGTCACATTTAACGAAAAAAGAAGAGAAAAAAATAGACTAGAATATAAAATAGAAAAAGAAAACACTTTCACTGAAGGAATACTAATTGTTAACTGTCGACAATTGTAATTGTAATCAAGTAAAGAGGCTTAACAATCATGATTAACTCTGATCGTTGGATGAATATGGTTTCAGTAAAAGTTATTGCATTCTCAGGGTTTCGTATTAACCTATTGGATCTTAAAAATTGACAACAATTTGATGACGATCATTTTATTCACAGGAATGATTGAGAAACAATAACAAGATTAATACTCTAATTGTACAATCATCTGTATCTATTTACACTGAACAGTTTCAACTTTCAGGTAGAAAAACCCGATTGTAACCCAATTAATGTGTGAATGTAATTGTAATTAGTGAGTGTTGTTACTAATTGATTAGAACTGTGACAATTTTTGATTAATCAGCCCACATCAATTTAGAATTCAAGTTGAGACGATTTTCTATTCGTGCAACGAATCGTTTTTTATTCAATTCGAATTTTCAATTTTAGTTTCATGTTATTCTCATGAACATCGAGCATTACAAAAGTAATAATATTATGTAAATGTCGAGTTTAGTTTTGATATTAATAAATGAAGAGGAAAAAGTTCTATCCTTTTAGTAGATGGGTTTACTTTTGGTTCTAATTCATGGGGAAGTTCAGAGAATGACCGACAATCTCATCTGTCGAAATAAATCTCAGCTAATCTAACTGTTATTTTCTTTTTCTTTTCCTCTTTCACTTCAATAAGATGAACATGATTACGATTTTATCTCTACTGATAAAAAGATAATCTCCTTTCTCTCTCTCTCTCTCTCTCTCTCTCTCTCTCTCTCTCTCTCTCTACCATGGAATTTACTTCATTTGAATAGTTTATTCTCAGTTTAGAAAGAAAAAAAACTCTAATATTTCACCAAGAATAAAAAGAGAATAACATTTTTTTTCTTCTTCTTCGTTTTCTTATCATGAAACTGATATGATTCAATCCTGAAACTCATCATGCAAATCTTGATACAATATTATGTTTATAATACTCGAATGTGTAACAATGTTAATCACTGAAATCACATAAATTGTTATTCTAATCAATTACTTGATTTGATTAATTAATCTTCGAGTGATAACAATTGTTGTGTCGATGATTAGATTTAAGGTTCTTCTTATTATCTTAACCAATCTCACCTTGAGTTTATCTATTAGGTGATTGATGAAACTAATTCATTGGATTAGATGAGTTGACCTAAAGAATTACAATGAATCAAATGAGTAGAAATTCATGAGGATAACATGGAATAAGAATGGAAAGAAAAAAGAAGAGATTAAGTTTGATTAATCAATTGTTCCATTGATTATCTAGATAACCAATTATTGTGATGAAAATGAAAACGTTTTCGCAATTCATATGAAAGTTTAGATTAATTAGTCAACGAAAACCCGATCAACTAGATTAATGTTTTTCCATGGAAATTTAAAAGACAAAAGAGATAATTCTGATTTCTTTTCTTCCATCAAAGTGGATTATCATGTCAACGGTTTTCCACTTTTCACTTTTCTTTTTGTTTCTTTCGCTTTCATAATATTAACTCTTTTTTCGTCATTTTCTTTTATTCAGCTAATTAGGAACTTTTGACATGCTAAGGAAATGAATTGATCGCCATGGAATTTGAGATTATTTTGAATATTCGCTTGTCTCTTTCTTGTCAAACTTTCTTTCGTATATCAATGAATTCAAACTCGTCAGAACTTGAGAACGTTTTCCTTTTTCAATTCGAAACTCATTGTGTTTACTTAAGCTTCTAACTGAATGTCCAGGAAGAAAGAGATAAATTGTTGAGGAGAGAAGAAAAAACAGAGAATAGAAAGAGGAATAAGAAGAAAAAGACAGAAAGATAACTCATGTTAATATCGAGAATTCTGAGTTACTTTTCCTTCTAACGAGCTAATAGCATTCTTGTCATGATACGAGAGGAAAACATTCACTTTCATCTCTCTCGCATTGTCAACATAAGTAAAGAGCATGAGAAAAGTTCAGACAACAATGAATTGGAAACAATAACAACGATCAACAAAAAGCTCAGCAAACAATTTATCTCAAACCAGAATTTCATTGAGAATCAGAAGAAGAGAAAGAAGAAGAAGAAGAAGAAGAAGAAAAGAAGAAAAAATGTTTCCATAATTTTGTCACCTTCTCTTTTTTTCACTCTAAATGAATGATGATTTATCTTTTTCCGCTTAACCAGAATTAGAGATTGGGATTAGAGACAGAAAATGATGGAAGAAAAAAGTTTTAATCTGAAAGCGAAAAGAAAACTTTCACCATGAAACTTTCTTCAGAATTATCTGAGTGTGAGAGAATCTACTTAATGATAGAATAACAAAATTATTATTCTTCTCGAATCAAAATTATCTCACATCATGAGTTCTAACGGTCATTCGTTGTTGCCCAAAGTAAATATTTCGTTTTCATTTCTTTCATTTCTTTCATCATTCCTTCATTTATTCATTTGCTAAAAGTTCATTGAAAGAAAACAAAACTCAATTGTATCATGCACAATTCGGCTAATTGTTCCCAAGAGTTTCTACCTCTCTGATTTTAGTGTCAATCATGATCAGTCTAATCAACGAACTTTAATTTAGAGAAGATGAACAATCTTGTTCTCTAGTAAATTAAATAGATAAATAGTAAATTTATTCCAGAAATTAGATTCTATTCGAATTTGAGTTTACTGAATTTATTACATGATTGTCGATTATGAGACATGAATACATCATGATAATTTTCTCATCTAAATCTAAATCGAGTTAACAGATTTTAAATTGAAATTCACTGATTCAGTTAATCATTTGATCTCATCAATTCTAGACTTTTAGTTAACTAGATTTTCGAAGGTCAAAATTCGTATATGATTCTGATTGAGAAAATAGACAAGAAAATATTACAAGAAAAATAAATGACCAGAATTTGAGAGAAAATTCTGGTGCTTGTGAGTAATCTGAATTCGAGTATTTCATGGAAATGAGTCCTTTACCTTTAGGCTCTTTTTCTGATTGAAAACTTTTCTCTTTCTCTTTCTCTTTCTCTTTCCTTCTCTCTTATCCTCATGATTTATTTCATAACAAAATGTTCAGTAAATATTAGATACTGAGAATCATTCAACGAGATAAATATAATATTCACCAAACAATTGGATAAATGAAAAGAAAACGTTATCACTTTAAACTGAACAATTTATGAGACAATTTAATCAATTTCCAAGTTAAATTACATCCAAATTCATCTCTTCAAAAACAGAGAAAAATCAAATTGTTGCTTTTTCTCAGACATTTTCATCTTCATCTTCATCTTGTTCCAGTTTCTCTCTCCCTTACTCGATCTTCATCTTCTTCATCTTCTTCATCCTTCTACTTTTGACTGTCTATTGTTTTGCATCTTCTTCTTCTTCTTCTGTTTCTTTTTCCCTCATCATCTTATCATCTTTTCTTGCATTGGATTACTTTTTTTCTTCTCCATAATATTATCTTCATCTTCCTGGTTCTTAATAAAAGCTTCAAGTATACAAGTTGCTCCAATAATTTCATCAAATTCTGATCTCATTTCTCTCCCTCTCTCTTCTTCTTCTCCTCTCCCTCTCTACCTCTTCTCCCTTTCTACACACACAAATAATATATTCTCTTGTTATATGTTGTGTACCTTTGGAATATTTTTTCCTCTTCTACCTTTAGTAATCCAAAGTTACGAAACTCAGACAAATACAGTCAAAGGAAAAAGAAATGAAATAATCATCATCATTTTTTATTCTCCTGTTACTCTCATGTCATTACAACCAATGGAAGATAAAATCTGCAATTCTCTACCCTTTTTTTCCTTCTCACTTTTTTTACTTTTTCTCTTTCATCTCTTTCATCTCTTTCATCTCTTTCATCTATTTTATCTTCTCTTTCTCCCAAATCGTCATCATCATCACTGTTTTGATAATGAAATGATAAAAAGCAAAAAAAAAACGAAAAAAAAGTTGAAAATCTTAGTTGTGCTCTTGAGACAAGTTATCCTTTGATAACCCGGAAGATGAACATTGATAATGATGAAGATGAAAATGTTTCAAATGATCGCAATCAATTTAATCCATGTTATCATTAATACAATTGCATCTTTAAAATAGTAATCACAATAATCTGATAACATGATTATAAGTTGATGTTGATAAGTAAAACATTCAAACAATTGACCATCAACCCAATTACAGTTGATTAACTTGATTCGATCAATTAAACATCATCTCAGGAGTTGACAGAAAATAGTATTACATTGTTATATGTAATGTCCATTAGTGTCCATCAACTCGTAACCTTTTCATGTAATTTCATCGTCAAACTTTTTTTCTC